CACACACACACACACTGGCAAGCCAACGTGACCGTGCTCTATCACAAGACTTTCATTATTATCTCCATGCACCCAGGGTGATTCTGCCTGGCAGGAGGTGCCAAAACGTCTAAACCGAAAACAAGAACAGTGCGATGAAACGCTCTCTCATTTTCTTTCAGCTCTTTGTACAGTATAATGATTTAAAAAGCATTTCTAAGGCTCCCCTGAAACGATTGTAAAATACAAAGACAGCTTCTCTTGCCAGATTCTTGGCAGAATTATCTTTGCACTGCTTGGTACTGGATAAAGAGCTATCTCTATCTGCTATTTCACTTTGCCTATTGGATGTAGTAGACATTACAGAATGTTATGAGCCTACAAATTAGCGTACGTTTATATATATTATGCAACTTACAGAAACATTCACTATAATAAAAACACTAAAGGCCAAAACTGTCTGTCTCGAACGAGAAAATACGGAAGCGAAGTTCTGGTAGGCCAAACAGCGCAACTGCGAGCGTGACACACCACCAGTTCCCTGCATCAAATGATTGAATCAGCGTTTTTTAACGAATCGGCTGAAAATGATTTAATAACTCATTACAATAAACAAAAGACTGTCACATGTCGCCATCTAGCTACTAAAGAAACCACATAACCTGCAGACACTAAACATCGCCACAAAAAGCTGACAGTTTATGATAACCACGTCTGTCAACTCCAAAAAGGAACAAAATATTGACATAAAAGTAGCAGGGCCACAATTTTGAACTATATCCAAAATGTGCATAGACATTAGGGCAGGTTGAAAATTCTTTAAAAATCCTCTATTTGTGTTACACACAAAATAACAGCATAAACATTTGGAACCATATTTGAGAATCAGTAAATTATGACAGAATTGGTGCACTACTTCTTTAATAAACATGTGGAAGTGCCATCAGAGAAGCACCTGTTTGCAAATGTCATGTTCTGCATGCAGAATCTAATTTGACTTGATTTACATAAACAAACTGGTCAGGCTTCCATGATTAATCAAATGAAGAAGGCCTACTTTATAAATAAATTCAATACATAAAAAGTTGTTCATGACACAAAAAATGTGGCATGCATGTTTACAGGAAGATGGAAATGAGATAATTCATAGTCAAGATAATAGGGTATAAAACAGACGCAGGGATTTATTAAACCTCTCTGAAAAGCTCTAGATTAACCACTGCCTTGTTCACTGCTCACACTGACACAAACTGCTCTGCTGAAAGGCCTAAAATACTGGACTTTATTTTGTCTCAGCATGTCTCTGGGGAACCCATTATTTTTCCCCTTCTTTGCCACCATGGTTGGAAGCTGAAAGTGGAGATTGTTACATCATCTTGTGCTGGTAGGGATGGGCACAGCATTCCTTCTGGTCTCTCAGAGACGAAATGGAAAATCCTAGCTAAGCTCAAATGGTGCTCCAGCATGTTTCCACAGTGCACTTTTAATTATGATGTAGACATAAGTCAGCATCTACATCTGTCAGGTCATGTAAACCTCCAGCACTTTGAGAATGTGCTCAAAGGTAATCTTTTATATGAAAGGGTTTAGTGTTTTGACGCGTTTCCTGGCAGCTGTTTTGTTTGGTGTATGAATGTTTTGTTGCCGAGATGTTCCAGGCCTTTGCTGAAATTTGATCCAAGTCTGCTTTGTGTTCTCAGAGCTGATATTTGTTGCTCCAGTATGTTTAATCAGATCAGATGCATTGGCAGAGATTGTGATCATTTGATTTACCCCATTTTTGTTGATGTGAAGCTGGCAGAGGACAATAATTCAGACATTAAGGGGAATCATGTTATATTTAGAGCATAATGGATTAGAATGGATTGCAAAGCATAATGCGAATTAGCTCTCGTGAACGCAACAGATACACAATCTTCTTTTCGATCCTAACAGTATTATTTTCCTTGTTTAAATTTGAAAATCTTAAACTCACATTAACAATCCATTTTACATTAGTCAATCTGACTTATGTCAGAGAGAAAAAAGGATATTCAGTGAGAAAAAAATTTTGGGAGGGGCTTTTGAAAATTAATGGATCATAAAGTCCAGTGGCTGGAGTGGAGGAATTAAAAAATTAAGAGGGCTTTGTGACGTCAGCAAAAAAGAAAGTCATTTGAGAGGTGGAAGAAGTTATTTGTTTTTGATTAAAGCAACTGTAAAAGCCGCCTACAGTTAAGTGAGTGGAATTCACTGTCGTAAATATAGCACTGCCGAATTTGTTGCTGCCATAAAGCAGTCCGCCCTTTTTGCAGATTTTTGTACCAGCTAACCAAACTTCATAACCTCGGTTCCCTGAGATAAGGGAACAAGCGTTGTGTTGACACGCTTATGGGGAAACTCCTGTTTACTCTGATACTGAAGCCACATTTGTGACCAATGGCACTACAACCTGCCAAAAAGGGAGGAGCTGACCTCTATATAAGTCGGCTCTGAGCACCATTTCGTCAGAATCTTTCAACTGAAGCGACAGTCACTGATTTGCGTGCAGCCTTATAGCATGGCAGCCTACGCAACACTCATTACCTTATCTCAGGGAACCGAGGTCACGTTAGTAACTGGAGTGTTCCCTTTCGAACGGTCTCTCCCGTTGCGTTGACACGCTTATGGGGAAAGAGTCCAATAGCACCATGCTATAAGCAAGTGCAGAACAAAGCCGCTCTGCGAGCCCAGCCCTGTAAGCATGAGCCAATAATGAGACCCAAGCCATTTAGGCTGAAGACTACATAACATAACCCTCTCCACTTACAAAGGGGTTTAGGTAGAATTAAGCGGACAAAATCCGTGTCTACAGTCCAGGGATTTCCAAGTTATAAAACCTGGAGAAGGTAGACGGTGACGTCCGGCCAGCGGCTGCACAAATATCACCAATATAAATCCCGCTGGTCCAAGCCCAGGAGGAGGCCATTCCTTTGGTGGAGTGGGCCTTCACACCAACAGGGCACTGCAAGCCCGCTGAGGCATAAGCCAAGGCTATAGCATCCACTATCCAGCGAGATAACAGCGTAACCGGCAGCCCTTTAGAGCGGCCTCTGAAACACACCAAGAGCTGCTCTGAATGTCTAAACAGGCCAGAGCGTTCGACATACACTCTAAAAGCCCATACCAGGCAGAGTGGATTGGTACCCTGTTCACCATCCGGATTGGGTAACTCTAGAAGGGTGATGACTTGTGCTCTAAATGGAGTGGAG